TGGCACCATGCAGTATTTGTCCTTTAGTTTGCATGTTCCTTAACCACTTAGAACTTCACCCAGTGAAGATCATAATCCTTACTGAAATGAAGATAGCACATGTAGAGTGTCTCTAAGCCATGGGTTACATGATAAAGTGAATTTAGAGCAACTAGTAATGAAATGGTTCTCAAGAAAATGAAATGTGTTTGCAAGTACCATATGGTCTTTTTCAAGTAGTTTTCTTCTTTTTCTTTATTACTTTGCATGCTTATCTTTATCCCTACTCTCCTCCTCTTTGATCGTATTAACAGCAGTCATTCAACGTACACACCATTCATCCTAACACCAGTTGCTATCAAGTGGACATCAGCTCATGTTGACCCTGTGTATGTACAATTGATCTGAACTGCCTAAAATTATTAATGGCTAAATTTTTGGTAGATTAATCACCAAACCTTTCCCCTAGGTTTCCTCTTGGTGCATTCCAAACTTTTAAATAGCAGTAGAGTGTATAAACATAACCCAAAGAGGTAACAACGAATACTTAATCCTTCATATGTCTTCATTCTCATAGAGACCTATGCATTGTTAGGTGCAGTTGAGTACAACTTGTAGTGACCATGTGAACTCTGTCCTGTGCAGTCCTCTCAGTCTCTGACATACCACATACATTATTGTGGTCACTACGTCAGTCCATCTGGTTGAGGCTCTTCCTCTCTTTTCACTGGCTCTTGTTACTTTCCAAGTATGTCTTCCACTGTTAACAGTGTATCCAAAATATATAAGACAAAGCTTCATCTTTGCCTCTAAGGAGCACTCTGGCTACACTTTCTCCAAGACATACCTGTTCATTCTTTTGGCAGCCCATCAGATACTTAGCACTCTTCTTCAATATCACAGTTCAATGACATCAATTCTTCTGTCATCCTTATTTGTTGTCCAGCTCTCCAAAGCATAGTAAATAGTTGAAAAGACAGTAGTCTGAATCAAATGCACCTCAGTCCTCAACATCATTGTATATTCCGAGTAGTGGAATTGCTGGGTCAAATGGAATTTCTATTTCCAATTTTTTGTGAAAGCACCATATTGTTTTTCATAGTGGTTACACCATTTTACACTCCCACCAACAGGGAACAAGTGTTCCAGTTTCTCCAAAACATTGCCAGCATTTGTTGTTTGCTGCTCTGTTGAATTTTTCTATTCTT